TCACTTACGGATACGCTAACATACAATAGAGGCATCCCAATATTACCCTATCAGACGATAAGAAAGAATTTACTTCATACATAATAAGTGGCGCCGTAGTGGTAATCCGACTGTGCAATAGTCCGACGGTCCAATGGTCCGACGGTTCGATGGTCAGTGGTACTATAGTGACTATCCATTACTGGTAGACCGGAGTTTCCTGTTTCTGTATAGCATATATTTCCTGACCTTTGTTTACTTTAAAATTACTATTTTTGCTTTTTGCAATTGAAAAAAAAAAATTGCGATATCTATAAAAATAAAAAAAAATAAAGGGAGAAAACATCACAGATATGTATGCACTTTTCTTAGTTTTGTGAGAAAATCATAAAACCTTTTATGCAGATTTCTTGCAGACAAATTCGCGTAGTTTTAGGTTTATTACGTGCATCTGTAGCTCAGTCGGTTAAGACAACGTAGCCATAACAAAAGTATGAGAGGTTTTAAGTATAGGTTCCGAGTTCGTGTGATCAATTTTTGTATATATACATTGTTGGCAGTTGTTTTTATACGACCGCAAAAAAAAATTTTGGGATCGTATAATGGTATGATGTCGTCGTCGTCGTCTGCGTCGTCGTCCGAAGACACATTTGGTTTCCGGACAATAACTTTAGTTTAAGTGAATGGATCTCTATGAAATTTTTAAAGAATGGTCAATACCACAAAAGGAAGCTTGGGATTGATTTTGGGGATGATAGTTCTAACCGTTAAGGAATTAGGGGCCCAAAAGGGGCCCAAAACAAGCATTTTACTAGTTTCAGGATAATAACTTGTGTATAAGTATTTTGATTGCTCTGAAATTGTACCACAATGTTTAATACCACAAGTAGAAGGTTGGGATTTATTTTGGGGGTTATGGTGCCAACAGTTTAGGAATAAAGGGGCCAAAAACAAGCATTTTTGTAGTTTCCGGACAATAACTTGTGTGTGAGTGTATGGATCTCTCTGACATTGTACCACAAGGTTCCATATTAGAAAGGGAAGTCTGGGATTGAGTTTGGGGGTAATTGCCCCAAACTTGGAGGAATAAGGGGCCAAAAAAGGGCAAAAACAAGCATTTTTCTAATTTCCAGACAACAACTTGTGTTTAAGTGAATGGATCCCTCTGAAATTGTACTACAAGGTTCCATACTACAAAGGAAAGGCTGGGATTGAGTTTGGGTGTAATTGCTCTTAGGAGGGATTCAAAAAGTTTGGGGGGGGGGGATTTTTTTTCCAATTTTTTAAAGGGGTCATTATTTTTTTTCAAAATTTTTTAAATTTCAAATTTCTGAAAAGTTTCAAGAAGAAAGAAGAAACCTTCAATTGCACAGTATTGCGCAATATATTTGTAAGATCTTTGACCACATTTATTTTGTGTCAGAAACCTATATTATGTCAAAAATGTGATCACAATCCAAATTCAGACAGTATCAAGCTTGAATATTGTGTCCAAATTTGCCCCAACTGTTCAGGGTTCGACCTCTGCGGTCGTATCAGGCTGCGCTCAGCGAAGCATTTTATTGTTATTGTATGCGATTTGGGTATTTTTAAGCATGTGAAGTATCAGCATTTGGTTTTATTTTCTATTTTAAAAATACTGTATAATTATCAAAAGAACAATGCATTACATACTAGAAAAACAAAGGATGTGGGGTATCCATTCATGACACAAAATCAGTACATGCACAGAAAAACACACAAAAAGTAAAGGAAATGTTTGATTGACATGAGGGGCATTCGATTCTCTATCTCAATTATCGAACTTTAAAAATACGTATATGAAAAAAATACGGTAAAAATGGACCAGACAATTTCTTTTTAGGTACAAATACTTTAAAAATTTCAGAAGTTAAAAAAAAATGACATTTGTATACTTTATTTTTGGTTGAACACATTAACACATGTGTATTGTTGGTATATTTTACAATAGATCCTAGTGGCGAATTAAAAGAAAAATAGCCGGGTTTAGAGGACAGATGAACACCCTGAGTGTGACGGACAGACGGACTATCATAGGAATAGTTATGCCTTCGACTTGTAGTTTAATGTGTCACCCTGTCGGACTATCGAACTGTTGGACTATCCAACTGTCGGACTATCGAACCGTCGGACTAAAGGGGCGTCGGACTGTCAAGCGGACCCCGTAATAAGCTAGAATTTACCAATGAGAATCCCTTAACATATTTACCCCCATTGTGACTTGCAGCGTATGACTCTTTAGACCGGACCTCAAGTGACCCAGCTCTCCAGACTATTACATTAGATAATAGTATGGCAGGTGCATCTGTAGTTTTAATGATATTTTACATGATTGCAAGCTACAGCTGTACACGAAGTTTGATAACAGGTTAGTTTTTTAAAGTTCGTGTATGAAATAAAGTCAACAAATAATATTAATAATTAGTGTAAATTATTCTTTTTTGTGTGAATACTTATTAAAGATAAGTCTAGGTTAGTCTATGGAAAGGTATATACTATGAAATTTAGAGCGAGGGGCTTGCCCCGAGCTCTTAATTTCATAGTATATACCTTTTCATAGACTATCCAATTTACCACATATTTACAACTCGAGTAATCTTTTAATTGGCCTATTGATAGTTTATTTTGGCTGACTACTTGTATCACAGGTGTTTGTAAAACGGAGCTCATTAACGAAGTTTTGTAAATCTACTCACAAGTATCATTGTAAAATATGTGATTTCAAAAGGCCCTTGACTCCAGAATGAAAAGATGGTAGCTGCTGGTGTAAGTATGTATATTGATATAAAGCGATGTTTTACTATACATGTTCTTCTTACATGGTAAGATGACCAAATAAATTGACCAAAAGCAGGCAATAATTAAATTGCAGTGGAAGCTTTACCTGTTTTGAAAACATTTTTTTAATTTCACAGTAAAACTAAAGCTATAATAATTTTGAAACATATATAGATAGTTTGTCCCCATGGATATAGTCTAGCAGATAGGCATTAAAAAGCAACTACCAATAGATCAGAGATTATAGGTTTTGTGTTTTTTTTTTGTTTTTTTTTTTATTATTTCAAAGTAAAAACTAAAAGATTTCTCAGAATATGTTTATATGTATATATATATATATATATATATATAGGTGGCACATTATCTTCAGACATAATCACAGTTTTTCAATTCATGACATCGTCCTGAACATGCATGAAATATTTGCCACTGGAAATTAAGCAACCAATAATCAATAAATCAATCAATTCATGACGAAATAGATCACCTTCCTTAAGAAAGTTTAAAAAATTATCACCAAGTTGCTTTAATTTCCCTTCACAAGGTTTCATAGTACACACTTTTTTGTGTACAAAGTAATTGTATGGATGATACATTATCATAATTTTAAGATATCGTTGAACTCTAATCAAGGTATAAAGAACCATATGTATTACCCTTTATTGAAATGAAAGAAATTTGCAATTGTCAAAAACATTTTTTAGATCCAAAGATTTTAATACCAGGATATTTAAAAATCAACGTGAAAACTAATTACAAACTATTTAAATCAATTTGGAACACAGCATTTTATTTCAAAATAGCCAGTGGCAATATTTGTTTAAAATATCTTGATTACGATACAACGAAATCTTACCCTTGTGGTCATTCATGCGTAGTTACTTAGTACACGGAAAAAGTATGTACTATGAAAATTAGAAGGCAAATATAAGCAATTTGATTGGACGAGAAGTTGTAGGTATGTGCTAAAATTTCACTTTAAATGCACAACAACACATGATGAAATGTGGTCATGGTGTACAATACCTTGAGATCCACTTTATATTCACTTAATTACTTCAATCAGCCAAAACAGTTTTAAACGTTTGAAATAAACATTATAACTTTACAGACCTCGCATATAAAGAAGAACAAAAAGAAAGGTCATGTTGATATTGTTAGAATGATTTTATTTCCATTAATAACAAATGACAGGAAAGAGGGTGTCAAATGTAAATGCGTACTTTAAAAATTTATTCTAAATAAATGTAGAAAGGTTTTGTACATAATCAAATAATTAGAGCTACAGCTCAATACAACTAACGAATGTGACGGTGCACTTTTCTGTCGCAAGTTTCAAATTTTATTCGTTAATGTTTACTACATGCGAAATGTTCCATAACCGAAATATTTGTTTTTGTTTTTTTTTAATGATTAAGTTTATAACACAATATTGACTGCTGTACCCCAATTTTTGACATTTTTACCTATTGTGTCTGTTTGTTTTGTTCACACATTGTTGCCAATATAATAGAATTGTATGCGACTGTCATACAAGTGAGAGGTTTAGCTAGCTATAAAACCAGGTTTAATCCACCAATTTCTACATAAGAAAATGCCTGTACCAAGTCAGGAATATGACAGTTGTTATCCATTCGTTTGAGCTTTTGATTTTGCCATTTGATTAGGGACTTTCCGTTTTGAATTTTCCTCGGAGTTCGGTATTTTTGTGATTTTACTTTTTTCCATAAAAAGTAAAATTAAACCTGAGATCCTGGACAATACATTACTCCATTTAACAATGTTTAAATATAACTTGACAAAGAATTTACTTGTGTACATCTGAACTAAAAAAATGCATGTTGTAGGATCATCTCATCTTTTTTTTTTGCATCACAAAATGAACAAAATCGTAACCAATGTCCCCAGTGCCGCGTCTAGTTTTTTGACACTAGTCTACCTCATTTACCGTTTATTGCATGAAACAGTCAACAGTTGTCCCACTTAAGCGTTCCAACCCCATCCTTCTTATACCTCATGTTCATTTTCGAACATCAATGGTGCTCGGCTGTATAGCCTTTTTGTGCTGCTGAGGCGTTTAACTCTGATAACCAAACAATGGAAATAGTAGAGTGAACATGCATAATCAGTATTTATCAATTTATACTTTCGTTTTTTCATCCATCCAGTATGATAACGAGAGGCTGTCGATCAACTAAATAAAACGTAAAATACGTACTTACATTCGAAGTTCTCTGCATTTATTTGTAACTTTTTCGATACAGTGTCGAAGTTATACCGGCATTGATAATTGGATGTCAAATCTGACTCTGTGAGGTTTTTGACCAATAGCCCAAACTGGTTATGTGTGGTTAATATCTCCTTATATTCTGAAGGTTTATCCAAATGGCCATTGTATACGATTGATTCGGTCCCTTTTGACCATTGGCGCGTCAGATTCTGGTCAATAGTCTGTACACCATGGACGGTACATATCAAAGTAACTGGTTCGCTGATTCTCATTATACCTGGCTCACGTTCCCATGTTACTGAAATGAATATATCCAATTACAATAGTATGTATATATTATGTTATGATTGTGAAATTGGGGTTTTGATCAGACACATGCACAAAGTATATCGTTAGCATTGCAAACTGGCTGTTTTCTATAACTATGCACAAACAGGCGCATCGTTTGCGCAATGTTTCGAGTGGCGCTATGTTCAAAAATTTGAAACTAGGGCTCGAAATTTGAAAAATTTGGAAAAAAACCGGGGGGTTGGCCTATTCCATGGCCTCTAGAGAAAAATAATAAGGGGTGTCACGGGGTATGGCTATATAGGTCGTGTAGAGGAGAAACAGGCGCATCGTTTGCGCAAGGTTTCGAGTGGCGCTATGTTCAAAAATCTGAAACTAGGGCTCGAAATTTGAAAAATTTGGAAAAAAAAGGGGGTTGGCTTATTCCATGGCTTCTAGAGAAAAAAATGAGGGGTGTCACGGGGTATGGCTATATAGGTCTTGTAGAGGAGAAACAGGCGCATCGTTTGCGCAAGGTTTCGAGTGGCGCTATGTTAAAAAATCTGAAACTAGGGCTCGAAATTTGAAAAATTTGGAAAAAAAAAAGGGGGGTTGGCTTATTCCATGGCTTCTAGAGAAAAAAATGAGGGGTGTCACGGGGTATGGCTATATAGGTCTTGTAGAGGAGAAACAGGCGCATCGTTTGCGCAAGGTTTCGAGTGGCGCTATGTTAAAAAATCTGAAACTAGGGCTCGAAATTTCAAAAATTTGGAAAAAAAAACCGGAGGGTTGGCCTATTCCATGGCTTCTAGAGAAAAAAATGAGGGGTGTCACGGGGTATGGCTTTATAGGTCTTGTAGAGGAGAAACAGGCGCATCGTTTGCGCAAGGTTTCGAGTGGCGCTATGTTAAAAAATCTGAAACTAGGGCTCGAAATTTGAAAAATTTGGAAAAAAAAACCGGAGGGTTGGCATACATGTATTCCATGGCTTCTAGAATAAAAATAATGAGGGGTGTCACGGGGTATGGCTATAAATTTCTTGTAGAGAAGAAACAGGCGCATCGTTTGCGCAAGGTTTCGAGTCGTGCTATGTTCAAAAATCTGAAACTAGGGCTCGAAATTTGAAAATTTGGAAAAAACCGGGGGGTTGGCCTATTCCATGGCCTCTAGAGAAAAATAATGAGGGGTGTCACGAGGTATGGCTATAAAGTTCTTGTAGAGAAGAAACAGGCGCATCGTTTGCGCAAGGTTTCGAGTCGTGCTATGTTCAAAAATCTGAAACTAGGGCTCAAAATTTGAAAATTTGGAAAAAAACCGGGGGGTTGGCCTATTCCATGGCTTCTAAGGAAAAAAATGAGGGGTGTCACGGGGTATGGCTATATAGGTCTTGTAGAGGAGAAACAGGCGCATCATTTGCGCAAAGTTTCGAGTGGCGCTATGTTAAAAAATCTGAAACTAGGGCTCGAAAATTGAAAAATTTGGAAAAATAAACCGGAGGGTTGGCCTATTCCATGGCTTCTAGAAAGAAATAATGAGGAGTGTCACGGGGTATGGCTTTATAGGTCTTGTAGAGGAGAAACAGGCGCATCGTTTCCGCAAGGTGTCGAGTGGCGCTATGTTCAAAAATCTAAAACTAGGGTTCGAAATTTGAAAAATTTGGAAAAAAACATGGGGGGTTTACCTATTCCATGTCTTCTAGAGAAAAACAATGAAGGGTGTCACGGGGTATGGCTATATAGGTCTTGTAGAGGAGAAACAGGCGCATCGTTTGCGCAAGGTGTCGAGTGGCGCTATGTTAAAAAATCTGAAACTAGGGCTCGAAATTTGAAAAATTTGGAAAAAAACATTGGGGTTGGCCTATTCCATGTCTTCTAGAGAAAAATAATGAGGGGTGTCACGGGGTATGGCTATTTAGGTCTTGTAGAGGAGAAACAGGCGCATCGTTTGCGCAAGGTTTCGAGTGGCACTATGTTCCAAAATCTGAAACTAGGGCTCAAAATTTGAAAAATTTGGAAAAAAACCGGGGGGTTGGCCTATTCCATGGCTTCTAGAGAAAAATAATGAGGAGTGTCACGGGGTATGGCTATATAGGTCTTGTAGAGGAGAAACAGACGCATTGTTTGCGCAAGGTTTCAAGTGGCGCTATGTTAAAAATCTGAAACTAGAGCTCGAAATTTGAAAAATTTGGAGAAAAAAAACCGAAAGGTTGGTCTATTCCATGGCTTCTAGAGACAAATAATGAGGAGTGTCACGGGGTATGGCTATATAGGTCTTGTAGAGTAGAAACAGGCGCATCGTTTGCGCAAGGTGTCGAGTGGCGCTATGTTCAAAAATCTGAAACTAGGGCTCGAAATTTGAAAAATTTAGAAAAAAACATTGGGGGTTGGCCTATTCCATGTCTTCTAGAGAAAAATAATGAGGGGTGTCACGGGGTATGGCTATATAGGTCTTGTAGAGGTGAAACAGGCGCATCGTTTGCGCAAGGTTTCGAGTGGCGCTATGTTCAAAAATTTGAAACAAGGGCTCAAAATTTAAATTTTTTTGAAAAAGAACCGGGGGGTTGGCCTATTCCATGGCTTCTAGAGAAAAAAATGAGGGGTGTCACAGGGTATGGCTATATAGGTCTTGTAGAGGAGAAACAGGCGAATCGTTTGCGCAAGGTTTCGAGTGGTGCTATGTTCAAAAATCTGAAACTAGGGCTCGAAATTTGAAAAATTAGGAAAAAAAATCCGTGGGGTTGGCCTATTCCATGGCTTCTAGAGAAAAAAAATTAGGGTTGCCGCGGGGTATGGGTATATAGGTCTTGTAGAGGAGAAACAAGCGCATCGTTTGCGCAAAGTTTCGAATGGCGCTATGTTAAAAAATCTGAAACTAGGGCTCAAAATTTATAAAATTTTGAAAAAAAACTGGGGGGTTGGCCTATTCCATGGCTTCTAGAGAAAAATAATGAGGATTGTCACGGGGTATGGCTATATAGGTCTTGTAGAGGAGAAACAGGCGCATCGTTTGCGCAAGGTTTCGAGTGGCGCTTTGTTCAAAAATCTGAAACTAGGGCTCGAAATTTGAAAAATTTGGAAAAAAACATTGGGGGTTGGCCTATTCCATGTCTTCTAGAGAAAAACACTGAGGGGTTTCACGGAGTATGGCTATATAGGTCTTGTAGAGGAGAAACAGGCGCATCGTTTGCGCAAAGTTTCGAGTGGCGCTATGTTAAAAAATTTGAAACAAGGGTTCGAAATTTAAATTGTTTTGAATAAGAACCGGGGGATTGGCCTATTCCATGGCTTCTAGAGAAAAAAATGAGGGTTGTCACGGGGTATGGCTATATAGGTCTTGTAGAAGAGAAACAAGCGCATCGTTTGCGCAAAGTTTCGAGTGGCGCTATGTTCAAAAATCTGAAACTAGGGCTCGAAATTTGTAAAATTTTGAAAAAAACCGGGGGCTTGGTCTATTCCATGGCTTCTAGCGAAAATAATTAGGGTGTCACGGGTTATGGCTACATGTATATAGCTCTTGTAGAGGAGAAACAGGCGCATCGTTTGAGCAAGGTTTCGAGTGGCGCTATATTCAAAAATCTGAAACTAGGGCTCTAAATTTGAAAAATTTGGAAAAAAACCGGGAGTTGGCCTATTCCATGGCTTCTAGAGAAAAAAAATGAGGGGTGTCACGGGTTATGGCTATAAAGGTTTTGTAGAAGAGAAACGAGCGCATCGTTTGTGCAAGGTCTCGTGTGGCGCTATGTTCAAAAATCTGAAACTAGGGCTCGAAATTTGAAAAATTTGGAAAAAACCGGGGGGTTGGCCTATTCCTTGGCTTCTAGAGAAAAATAATGAGGGGTGTCACGGGGTATGGCTATAAAGGTCTTGTAGAGGAGAATCAGGCGCATCGTTTGCGCAAGGTTTCGAGTGGCGCTATGTTAAAAAATCTGAAACTAGGGCTCGTTATTTGAAAAATTCGGAAAAAACCGGGGGGTTGGCCTATTCCATGGCTTCTAGAGAAGAAAAATGAGGGGTGTCACGGGGTATGGCTATATAGGTCTTGTAGAAGAGAAACAGGCGCATCGTTTGCGCAAGGTTTCGAGTGGCGCTATGTTCAAAAATCTGAAACTAGGGCTCGAAATTATAAAAATTTGGAAAAAACCGGGGGGTTGGCCTATTCCATGGCTTCTAGAGAAAAATAATGAGGAGTGTCACGGGGTATGGCTATATAGGTCTTGTAGAGGAGAAACAGGCGCATCGGTTGCGCAAGATGTTGAGTGTCGCTATGTTCAAAAATCTGAAACGTGGGCTCGAAATTTGAAAAATTTGGAAAAAAAACCGGGGGGTTGGCCTATTCCATGGCTTCTAGAGAAAAATAATGAGGGGTGTCACGGGGTATGGCTATATAGGTCTTGTAGAGGAGAAGCAGACAAATCGTTTGCGCAAGGTTTCGAATAGCGCTATGTTCAAAAATCTGAAACTAGTGCTCTAAATTTAAAAAATCAGGGAAAAAATTCCGGGGGGTTGGCCTATTCCATGGCTTCTAGAGAAAAAAAAAATGAGGGTTGTCACGGGGTATGGCTATACAGGTCTTGTAGAGGAGAAGCAAGTGCATCGTTTGCGCAAAGTTTCGAGTGGCGCTATGTTCAAAAATCTGAAACTAGGGCTCGAAATTTGTAAAATTTTGAAAAAAAAAACTGGGGGGTTGGCCTATTCCATGGCTTCTAGAGAAAAATAATGAGGAGTGTCATGGGGTATGGCTATATAGGTCTTTTAGAGGAGAAACAGGCGCATGGTTTGCGTAAGGTTTCGAGTTGCGCTATGTTCAAAAATCTGAAACTAGGGCTCGAAATTTGAAAAATTTGGAAAAAACCCGGGGTTGGCCTATTTCATGGCTTCTAGTGAAAAATAATGAGGGGTGTCACGGGGTATGGCTATATAGGTCTTGTAGAGGAGAAACAGGCACATCGTTTGCGCAAGGTTTCGAGTGGCTCTATGTGTACATCTGAAACTAGGGCTCGTTATTTGAAAAATTCGGAAAATCCGGGGGGGTTGGCCTATTCCATGGCTTCTAGAGAAAAAAAATGAGGGGTGTCACGGGGTATGGCTATATAGGTCTTGTTGAAGAGAAACAGGCGCATCGTTTGCGCAAGGTTTCGAGTGGCGCTATGTTCAAAAATCTGAAACTAGGGCTCGAAATTTGAAAAATTTAGAAAAAACCGGGGGGTTTTCCTATTCCATGGCTTCTAGAGAAAAATAATGAGGGGTGTCACGGGATATGGCTATAAAGGTCTTGTAGAGGAGAATCAGGCGCATCGTTTGCGCAAGGTTTCGAGTGGCGCTATATTAAAAAATCTGAAACTAGGGCTCGAAATTTGAAAAATTTGGAAAAAACCGGGGGGTTGGCCTATTCCATGGCTTCTAGAGAAAAATAATGAGGAGTGTCACGGGGCATGGCTATAAAGGTCTTGTAGAGGAGAATCAGGCGCATCGTTTGCGCAAGGTTTCGAGTGGCGCTATGTTCAAAAATCTGAAACTAGGACTCGAAATTTGAAAAATTTGGAAAAAACCGAGGGGTTGGCCTATTCCATGGCTTCTAGAGAAAAATAATGAGGAGTGTCACGGGGTATGGCTATATAGGTCTTGCAGAGGAGAAACAGGCGCATCGGTTGCATAAGATGTTGAGTGGCGCTATGTTCAAAAATGTGAAACTAGGGCTCGAAATTTGAAAAATTTAGAAAAAACCGGGGGGTTTTCCTATTCCATGGCTTCTAGAGAAAAATAATGAGGGGTGTCACGGGATATGGCTATAAAGGTCTTGTAGAGGAGAATCAGGCGCATCGTTTGCGCAAGGTTTCGAGTGGCGCTATATTAAAAAATCTGAAACTAGGGCTCGAAATTTGAAAAATTTGGAAAAAACCGGGGGGTTGGCCTATTCCATGGCTTCTAGAGAAAAATAATGAGGAGTGTCACGGGGCATGGCTATAAAGGTCTTGTAGAGGAGAATCAGGCGCATCGTTTGCGCAAGGTTTCGAGTGGCGCTATGTTCAAAAATCTGAAACTAGGACTCGAAATTTGAAAAATTTGGAAAAAACCGAGGGGTTGGCCTATTCCATGGCTTCTAGAGAAAAATAATGAGGAGTGTCACGGGGTATGGCTATATAGGTCTTGCAGAGGAGAAACAGGCGCATCGGTTGCGCAAGATGTTGAGTGGCGCTATGTTCAAAAATGTGAAACTAGGGCTCGAAATTTGAAAAATTTGGAAAAAACTGGGGGGTTGGCCTATTCCATGGCTTCTAGAGTAAAATAATGAGGGGTGTCACGGGGTATGGCTACATAGGTCTTGTAGAGGACAAATAGATGCATCGTTTGCGCCAAATTTCGAGTGGCGCTATGTTTAATTATATCTAAAGGAACTAAACTTTAGCTATGAATAACGCCAACTCAAATGTCACACGAGAACGTACAAACCGTGAAAAAAGACATATCAGAGTTACCAAACACTAATTGTAAGAATTTCTGGTCATTTGAAAAGTCGAAATGAAAATGCAAAATCCCCCATTCGAATTATATGATAAAAGAGATGTTTAAACGTGTATTGTAAGCACTGATAAAGAGAAGGCTGAATACAGGCTGGTTTTTTTCAAGGGTATTTCGAAAAAAAATTGATAAAGATGAAATTTTTTTGAAAGAATTTAGTTCGAAGAACCTTCTAGCAACGAATCTTTCAAACAAAAGAAAAATTAGCAAATATTCAAAAGCTTGAATACGTTTGTATAAAAGTGACACCTAACATCCACGTATTCCAACATCAATCCGAATTCCGATAGCAACACATCTTATTCTGAAGACTCCGTATACATTAGAATATGGCTTGACAAACAAGGTTGAGTCGTGATCTAAACAGTTTTTTTAACCAGTCGAAAAAGGTCAAGAGAAAAAAACTGCTTCTCAGACCACCAAGACGAATGAAGACCTTCTTGCAATCTTACCGCTTCCTGCACTGCCTCCTCCAACTCCTGATTTGCAGATACATTACCTATCGAACCAGCTCAACGTGCTACCCTTGGACATCGTGCACAGGAGTACCAACAACTCAATATAACGAATGATACAGATATGGACTAAGATCTGAAAACAATGGTATTTACATCGGATATGCAACCTTTACCTTTGAAGGAGATAATATTTTTTGGAATATGAATAGAGTACGATACAGAGCAACACTTGTATTGTGGTAACTCATGGTCAAGAAACGCCCTGAAACATCAAACAAGAAGACTTAAATGCCTATGTAGATATTTTGAAATCTACAAATGCAATGAATAAATATTCCGGTCCATAGTCCGGACCTAAATCAAACGTTTAGAAGTGCATCGTGTTGCATATGTACAAGAAAAATAAGTTTGGTGGTAGACTACCAACCATGTTTATACCATCAGACTTTGGTCAGCTTCTAGGTCAACTGGACCTGTGCGTTGCCTCCTTTCGAGCTGGAAACAATGGTGAAAGCAACAGGATCGTATCCATCCTCAACGCAATGAAGAAGCTTGTTATAATCGACAGTGGGGAGTACAAGCTGGCACATCGTAACATCTTATACATAAACATATAAACGTGGTAGGCGGGCGGCGTCTGTCTATTATTTGACCAATTAAGCCGGACGCATGTTCGCCTCCTCTGTCGCAAAGGCATGGGGTACTAAAGTCATGGGTGCTGTCACCAATGCAACCCTAAAAGGTGTTGAAAAGGGAGCCACTAAAACTGTCGTTGACAGAGTGACCAGCTGAAAGAAGACAGACGTACCCAACAAAACCCCTAAAACCAAGACTTCTCCGCAGCAAGCCCCTTTAAAAAAAACAATATTATCTCAGGTAGCGGTATTGCAACTATTCGCTATTTCGTCCAGTGCTATACTAGTAAATAGATAACAATGTCTGAAATACTTATCATCAAAGAAGGTATGTCGTTCGATGAAAATTATCAGGATTACGAAATACTGTAAAAGTACTTCTATTCGTTGGATACCAGTTTTCGTGATTTTCGTGGATGACTTTATCCACGTATTCAAGTGTTGGTCAACGAGCTATAAAGTGTTATCCAAATCAGGACATGGAAAGATGCTAATGTATGTTTGACTACATGGCCATAGATTACAACGAGTATCAGCAACTTCCCATAATATTTTATCTTTTATTAAAAACCTAAACTGTACGATTTTTAACCTTTTAATTTTCATGAAAAAATAGTTTTGTTCGATGCAAGTCAGACTTCCGGTGATGATATGCGATTATGAAGTTTGAATTTTTCTGTCCTCATAATTCTCATAGGAAAGAAATATAATTTCATATTGGGATTGCTTTTTTATTGCATAAGAATAAATTCTACGATTAAAAAGTACTTTTGTAGCATTTTTTATGTTACCATTTTCTTTAAGTTACAAGTTTATTGCTCAATTAACACCTTTGATGACCGTTAATCTGATGATCGTTCGATCTCGGGTTAATTAGTGTTGTCACTACTGATTACAACAGTGTGTTCAACAATTGAAATGTTTACTTTGCAATTTCCTTCAATCTAGACGATCTGTAAGGTTAGATGCATCAGCTTATTTTCGAAAACAATTATTGGATTACAAATTTGATGAATGTTGTCAGTTATGAAAGACGAACAAGTAAGTGAAAATCAATATAAAACAAAATACATGTATGATTAATTTCAAGACTCTTCGTTTCTGATGGCTTCAAAAAGTTCACTCGATTTTTTCTCAGAAAAGTAAAATCGATGAATTTAAGAACCCACGAAAATGTAACTTAACTTTGCTTAAACCACGACATTTGTTGCTCACGAATAAAAAACTGTCACAGTGCATGAATACGAGCCTCATTCCGGAGCTTCCTTGAACAGTTCTAGCGCAGAGATACGAATTAACATTGAGAACTAAGATCTATTTGTCCATCTTGATGAGAGTTATCTCTCGGTTGAAGGACAAATTTTAAAGAACGACGGCACGGTTTAAGCATATGCAGATCTGGTGACACTTGTAAACAATGGTGTCATTTACCTATCCAACAGTCTTGGTTACAGACTGTCAGGACACATAAATGAACACGTGAATGATCCAGGTTTAGCTTCTACCATGTTTAGGTTGTTGAATTAACTTGACGACTTCGACTTGCGTTATTCGCAGGGTCTCAACCACTTTTGGTAAAAAGATTCGACGGCTGAAGCCGTAGGCGACAACATTGGCTTTGCAGCTAGGCATGGTTACATCGTTATGAAACCTGCG